CATTTTCAAAATAGGGACTACCCAGACCCTGTTCGAATAGAGAAAGATATATGGTCTGTAAGTCGTCTAGGCGAGTAACGCCTTGGTATATATGCTCCCCCACAGCTTCAACGCTTAACCCGGGGGAAATACAAAATGGGGCCCATACCTCTGCTGGAACAATGTTAAAAGTTCGGCCTGGATTTGGTCCCGAACTGAATCCAAAGCCACTGCTGGATCCACTAGTTCCAATCGGGGAACAAGTCCCCGTCGAAAAACGGAGAATACCACGAGGGCACCAATAACATAAATAATCAGAGGGGAAAGAACTAAAAAAAAGATCTGAACTCATACAATACAAAAAGTCTTTTTTTCCGCCGTTAGGAAAGACTTGTCAGAAATGTGTATGTGGTTGGTTGTTGACCAAGAAAGACATGGGAAAAAGACCAAAGCCATCATAGCATAGGATTGACTTCGTCGCTCTGCTCCATGATACCAGAGAGACTTTCTTACTAAAAAAAGAGCTGTGGTTGGTTGTTGACCAACGGAAAGAAAAGCATGGGAGAAAGAGAAAGATGGATGCACAAACGAAAGGAAGAAGGGCGACTTCTTTTTTTTTTATAGATTCTGTCCAGCCCAAATCTGTTTTTAGTTTCATTACGCAATTTTTTTACAGGGGAGTCGAAGCCACACAACAACGACCAACTCTAACTGTCGCCCGCTAAACCACTTAGCTACCGGTATTTCTTCTCACACAGTACCAATCGCTACGAGATTCTCTAAAAGCTTCAATCGCATTACATACAGTGATTCAAAAATCAGTGATTCAAAAATCAAATGCAACATTGCGCGGATCAAAACCCGTCTCAAGTGGCTTGGCTAGGGGGCGGAAAGGACGAACTTCATTTTTAAGCAGCGGGATCTCTTTTCATTGCTAAGACCGCCTCATTTCGAAACCGGATTCGCTACCCAATTAGTCTCCCTACGCTATTATATATATTATATTAGGCACCTTTGGTCCTTGCTTTCTCGATCAAACTCTCTGACGTCGAAGAAATACTTCGAGGAGCAGGGATGATTTGAAATCCTGTATTTTTTTGACACTGAACACCAAGCCAATCTTGACTTAAGTAAGTACAAGCAAGGCAATGGACTCTATCAAGAAGGTATGGAACTTCTCGACGCACCTCTTGAAATGAAATTCCTTCTTTGCCACATCTCTCTTAGCTTATTTTATTTCGAGTTATTAGAGGGAAGGATCACTCCTAAAATAAGCCTTTCTCTTATATTATATACGAGAGCACTGCTGCCACTTCTGAAGCTAGGGACTTCTTTCTGTCGATACCTTTACTTTAGAGAGATAAAGAATAGGGGCGAAGCGGTTGAATTGGCTTCCATCGAAATCGAGATTTCCTCTGCCTCTTTTCTTATATTTATATCTTATATTTATATTTTATATTTATATTTTAGGCACTCGAAGCATATTGGAAAGTTTCCAGTAGAGCGGGAAGAAGGCTTAGTCAAAGACTTTCAAGAGCTTGTTGGAGGAAATGGATCAAAGGAAAGGGTAATTATTAATTAAACCGGCCATGCCAGAGAAGAAGCGGGGAAGCCTTATTCAATCAACTACAACCTAGCAATAAGAAGAAGGACAGGCCTGCACCTAGGAAGAAATCCAAAACGTCGAGGGGGCTCACAACCTATTTATTTTATTTATTAATTATCAAGTTGGTTTATTAGCGCACTCACGCCAAGTGCTACCGCCTCATCCTGGTGAGGCATCCCAAGCCCCTGTAACATTTGGCTTTTTGCGTCCTTCTGCCCTGGGATAGTTGGGCCGGGCCTGGTAACTGCCGCTTCGATCAAGCGTTAAACTACTACTTCTGGCTTCGGTCGAGAAAGGTATGGGCCTATGTATGGGTCGGGTTCGTAGTAGCAGACGGACAATTAAAGTACGTGGGGTCTGCTTGGTGAAGCGAAGTAGACAGGTATCTCCTAGATATCGAACGAACTAGCCACTCGTTATTGTAGCAAGGCGCCGTGGGTCTTGCGAGCTTCTGGGCGTATACGAATCTCCTCGATTCCTCTATATGTAAGGAAATAGCTACATCCAAAAGAAAGAAAAGGGGCAATGGTCGCCCTGGACTCTCCCAACAGTCTTTCGCCTTTTTCAGGCCTTCGCCTTAGTCCAAAGGAAGGGATTCTTATGTAAAGAAAATAATTCGTTACAAATAAGGTCAAGCTAGCTGGCTCATAACCTTGAGGAAGGAAATCCTATTTCGCCTTTCTTTACACCGGTATTCAAATAAGCTGCTGCAAAGAATGAGAAGTGGGTCTCGCTCTCCTAATCAGTCGTTAGCTTATCCATCTCTCTTTTATCCGGGCTTATTCCGCTTTAGCTGAGGCCGATGCCCCTATCTTTCTTCTGATCCGCCCCTAAACAATAGCAATAGCACGAATCCTAAGCTACGGCACGCGAAGGAATGGTTCCATGAATCATGGGTGGAGGCGACAGGGGGAT